GTCACCACAAGTTCAAGCCAAGGTGACATTTGCGACCAATGACGAGCACAGCAACACATTCGGCAATAGTACATCGTCGTCATTTGGTGAGAGGTTCGTCGATGAAGACCCATGGCCGTCTTCGTCCACATCGAGTGGAACATCTACTGAGGTGAGACATCCGAGGTGTTTTATTCAACATCATTTCGTAATGTTTAATTTTATTGAAGTATTGGTTTCATAAACGCGTGTTGCATAAGACCGTCAATCTGCCTGAACACATTTTTCCTAACGACAGTTTGCCTAAAGACACATTGCCTAACGGACAATTTACCTAACAGACAGTTTGCCTAAGGAACAGTTTGCCTATTAGGCGAAATATCCATTAAAAATCGTGAGTTAGGCAAACTGTCCGTTAGGCAAAATGTCTTTAGGCAGATTGACCGGGTACCCTTTCAGTATCCGATTTGGTGTTTACTGTTATAGTTGAAACTTTCGAGATGTACAAGTATGATTATTTGAAGTGAGTGCTGCGATAAACGAATACAAAAGCGCATTTTGCTTTGCTTTGTATTCGTTTATTGTATGATACATTTGGAGATTACGAAAGCATAGAGTACTTTAATTGTGTAATAGATTTGGATTATGTGAGGATAATGGTATCTGTTATCTGCTTTGAAGAGAAATTAGATAAGTCTAATTCAGAGAAGATGAGGAAGGAGTTGATTGATAGAGGGTATCGAATTGAATGATGAGATGCGAACAGTGGTCACATAATTGTATGATATTTGTTCGCATTTTTGTGCTTAAGGTGAAGATGATGTTGTTTTTTGCAGAATTCGTCGGATGCTTGGGCGAATTTCTCGATGAAAACGAGTGATTGGCCACCGAAGGGAGTGGAGCACGATGTGCTGCAAAATGACGCGAACGGCTGGCCATCGTTGAGCGGTCAGTCGGATCAAACACCCTTTCCAACGCATATACCCGGTTTGCCAGTAGCCGATGGCATTGCTTGTGCAATCATTGCAGCACCAGTCATGGAGAAGTAAGCTCTGTGGATCGCTTTACACATCATTGTTCTTGGATTCATTTAGTTTTCATTGTTTTTTGTTTTTTTTTTGTGAAAATTTTTGATTTGAGTTCATTTTGATCTGATTGTGAGTTTATTTTGATTGAAGCATCAAATTGTCGTGAAGTATTTTGCGAATGATTGAAAAGTGATAGTGATATCTAGCAGAGTTGCATGCAGTTTGCAGTTTGTTTCGTAGCCTTTTAGTCTGTATTGAGGACAAGAATTGAGTGATGATTTTCATTCAATTTCTAAAAAATGCAGAAACAATCCAAGAAGCATATTTTTTGGAGGGTCGTTTAAAAAAAGCTTTCATAATTAGCAAAAGTGAATTTCAGGCCATCAATAGAGACAACAGCAGA